CCAAATTCATCAGGCATGACTTGCCCCTGGTAAAACCATGTCGGTTATTACCAATCACCTCTTTGCTTTCCATGTGCCTAAGCACAGCGTCCAGGAGAACCTGCTCCATGATCTTGCCAGGCACAGAAGTGAGACTGATTGATCTGTAGTTCCCTGGTTCTTCTGCTTTCCCTTTTTTGAAAATGGGGGTTATGTTTCCCTTTCTCCAGTTGTCGGGGACTTTACCTGACTGCCACAATTTCTCCAAAATTATAGCTAGTGACTTAGCAACTACAACCACCAATTCCCTCAGATGTAGCAGCTTGGCACACAAGAGTACAGTATAAGGCTTTTTGAATTCTCTGGGGTTTGGTTTTTTTCCTCTAAAATTATTGCATCCTCACTTTGCTTAATTTTGTGATAAATCCTGATTATTTTTTCTTGCTGTTTTACTCCTTATTCTCTAGCTCTTGTTCAGGCTTCTGGATGATTGATGCGTAAACTTTTCCCCCTTCATTTTGCCTTAGTGAAGCAGGACATATTTACATTTTCTAGTAAGAAGTTTCAGTGTGTTTGTGTCACCCCGCTATGGGTACACAAGCTTGTGATAGGAAACAGCAGCTGATGTGGCTGCCTTTCCTGGATTTGCTGCCTGCTACCACAAAACACATCACTGAGATCTGGATACTTCCCACTTCACTGCAATTCAGAAGACTTGGGAAGTGCTGCAATGCAATAATTAACAGAGGTTGTTTAACTTGCAGTCGACTTGGAAAATTTGACTAGCACCGAGCATCTAACGGTTCTCCAAGAAAAAATGCAGGAAATCCAGAAATGTTACCTGCTGTTGAAAGCTGAGGTGGCTGCCATTAACTGGAGAAAGCACTTAAAGGAAAAAAAAGGAGATAAGTAAGTGCTAGGAACTAAAATCTGCTTTTAGAGTGCCAAATTGCATGTCATGTTATTAAGGTGTTAACAAGAATTGGACAACCTTTAGGAAGATGAGTGCTGTTAGAAGCATTTGTGTTTGCATTTTTTTCTGAAAAGATGTGTACAGTTTTTTTATGACCTTTAGAACATCCAGATCAGATACTCAAGTGATGATGTAAGGGAAAAACATTAACAAGGCATTCAATCTAGTTAATTCTGTTTAGGCAGGGTTACTTTATACAGGAAAAAAATACAGAGAAAATAAACTTTTCTAAGCAGTGAACAATGTAAATAAGGCTTATAACTTCTGTTCCTCAAGTTACAGATAAATTTACTGTAGTATTGCTTGTGTGCCTAGTTAGTGCTTTCCCCCTAGCATCAGGGATTTATTTCAGGAGTTTAATGGAGAACATCAATTTAATCTCATTTCTCTGAAGCTGCCTCACCTGTTGCTGCAGGGTGTGTTCTAGCACACCTGCTGCGAGGAGTGTGAAAAGGATCTCCGTGTCCTGTTCATGTGCCCACTTAAGAGTTTGTTGACTATAGTAAAAAAAGACTGAAACGCCATGTGCAGTAGATTTTACGGCAGCAGCCATTGCATGGGAACTGCAGTTGCTGCTTGGTTGCAGATTCAGTGTCAGGACAAGGCTCTACCTGTGCTGACTCCCACAGGAAAGAAAGGGAACACTTGGCATGTCAGCAGGTCAGGAATGAGCTTTGGCACTCTCTGTCTGGGTCCTTTGATCTATGTGGTCGACAAACCAGGACTGCAAGGAGCACTGATGCCAAAAGCAGGGGAAAGAGGCTCTTCTCTTTTTCATCACTAGGCCTTAGTTACCAGAGTCAGTATATACCAATGCTTGTTGAACAGGAAAACATTTTTATTTCTTATTTATAAATGTTTATAGCCCGTGTTTTCCTCTTCTTGTGCAGAGGCTGCTGCCATGCCAAGCTCCACACCAAATGAAATGTCGGGGGAATGCAGGTGACAGCAGGACTCGCCGAAACAGTTCGCACTTAATGGCTGCAGAGGGCCATTCCTTTTTATTAGTTCTGGTAACCAAATATGAGCATTCACTTAAAAAAAAGCAAACAAACGAAGACTGACTAATATTTACAGTTTTGAACTAGGCTTAAATAGGTTACTCTGGATTTTAAGAACCCATTAATTGGAATGACACTACAGTATTTTGCCATTTTTCTATCAAACAGGGGTTATAAAAATTGGATAAAATACATGAGAAAAAAATGGCTAACAAACTCTATCAAGTATTAATGTACAGAGATTGTGTTCAGCCTGTTTAAAGTGTGTATTTCTTCACAACAGATTGTAAGAGGTATATTTTAGCATTTTCTTGTAACTGTTTCTTTTCCCCTTAAAGCAACAAATACTTCCTTTGTAATGCTTATTTCATTTTGAGTTTCAAGAAGGCTTCAGGAGAAAGCAAGGTGTGAGGTTATAAAATCTTATAGAAAGAGCTATAAAATATGTATTAGTTCCGCAGAAAATTTTGTTATGTAAAATTTTTTACAAATGTAAGCAAAGGCCTCTGAAATAAAATGCCATAGTTTGTGAATCCCTACAGTTTAAAGCAACAGTAGTGTCTTTATGAAAGTAACATCAAGATGCAAGATCAGCTTGGTAAATGATTGATTCAAATCCATCCTCTCATACAAGAGAAAGCAAAAGCATGGCCCAACACTAACACAGCACCAGACAAAGCAAAGCTGAATTTTGATTATAGTAATTTGAAAATACCAAAGCAAACTCCTGAAGACATTTGCTGACTCCTTATACTGACTGCCTTGAGTTCAGAATTGAAACTGGAATAAAACTTCTAGTGTTCTCTGCTTACATCATGTCTGACTGTAGTTCAGTTGATCAAAATACTGTTACATCTGCAAAATGACAGATTACTGATGACACTGGTGAATTACAAACAAAGATAAGATTTGGAAGCACTGACTGTACTGAGAATTACCAGTAATCTGAGACTGACAGGAGTCATTTCAATAAATTCAGTGAGGTTACTCAGAGGATATTTACATCTGTTTAAGTTTAGCAGAATCAGATCCTTAGTAGTTCAGTTCTGAGAATAGCTCAGTGTGGATGATCCACATAGGCTGAGAGAAAGTACAGCTTGCTTGAAGGCTCTCCCTTTGTTTAGTCTCCACCAAAGTTTGTGTGTACTTATGACAGGATAGTTCCCACGACACTCCAAAATTTTCCTGTCAGCACAGGGTTCAGACTCACTCTCTGGCAGAGTTCTTGGAGGCTGTGTGCCCTGTGCTGAACTTGTGACAGAATGGGCCAGCTGAATGCTTGTCTAGTCATTTTGGTAAGTCAAAGAGTAAAAATTGCTTTTGAGTCAAGATCTGCTCTTTTTCTCTCCTAAGCATGAATCCTCTCTTCAGTTTAAGGCTGTTTTCAAAACAGAGTTAAGTAGAAACTAAATGCACACACTGGAATATATACAGAATTTTATTCAACAAAACCCCACCCAGCAGTACTGCATTGGCTAGAAATCTTTTAAATGTCGTGATAAAAAGACTGTGTATTTCTAGTAAAGAAAGTGAGTCAAACACCAAGAGATGATGTTTCAATCAAACATAAGCTTAAAAAATAGGTTTTAATTGATGTATTAAAAAGAGCTGGAGAAGGAAATGGAGTTAAAAAAGATAAACCATTTGGGGAGTAAATGGTACGGATTATCACCATGCAATCTAAACATTGCAATTGCAGATCATTTATTCAGAGTATGTGAGCCAGAAGCTGCAGTCCCTGGGAGAGAGGAGACTCCCTTCCCCTTTTAATGGGCTAAAGCAGGAAGTTGTCACTGCTTTGTAAGCTCAGACCCATCGAGCAGAAGGCAGCTTTTCTGTCGGATAAAGCGATGCAAAAAGACCTAGTACAGCAGCTTCCTTGCACTCTCTTGCTCCTGAGCCCCCTTCTTCAACTCTTCTTCCTCCTACTTACAGGAAGGCAAAGCAGGCCCTGTCCGTGTGGTCACACTGTGCTCTCCTTGTCTACAGTAACAGCAGACACCTGTGATTCCTCTCCAAAGACATTTACACACAGAAACCTGCTGAGAGGTCTATTATGGAAGCAGAAGCTGCAGTAGCAACATGACATCATGACAAAACAGCAATTCCTAACTTTATAGAAGTTGTCCTAAAATATTAGCTCACAAATTTTTAAAATAGTAGCTCTGTCAAATTTTTATACCACAGAATAGACACAGCCATAAAATCCCACATTTACTCTAAAATGAGTACTCTGCACTATGCAAGCAGGCATGGGCAGCTCCCAGTTTAACTGAGAATACACAACACCAGTGAGTGGTGAAAACAGTCACGACTGACATGAATGAGAAGTTTTAACATCAGCCTTTGGGTTTTTCACCCCCTGAACATTAACTGGTCTGTCTGTTCTCATTTGCCAAATACCATTACATAGCCTTTACTAGAAGAAAGTATATCTACCAAGCAAAAAAAGACCAAGAGAGCTGAACCTCAATGCCAGCAGAACCAAAGGCTGCTAAGCATCAAACACACCACATTTGAAGGACATGCAGAACTCTATAGCACTCTGCCATGTGGTTACCAGTGATACAGCCTGAAGCAGCATTTAAACAAAACATGCAGCTTAGTAGCTGCCTGTATGCTAAAGAACAGCAACCTCCTGGCTCACGACTTGTGTGTTACATAGATTAGGGCCAGAAACAAATGCAACAGACATAGAAAAACTGAAGACTGGTGGTGACTGAAACACAACTGTTATTCTTCCATTCCATCAATTATAAAATTATCTAATTCATGCACTTACAAAACAGAACACAGTAACTAACAAAAAGAAAGCCTTTTATTCAGAAGAGGTTCATGCATCTTTACATGAAAGTTATGATTTCAACTTACAAAGTGAGTATTACCATTAGCATCTCTCCTGAACGGCAAATCTTTTTTTCTTTTCAACGTCAAGAGGGTGTAAAGGTCACAAACAAATAATCTACAGCAAAACACCTCTAAGAAGCATTACTCAGATTTTACGTGTGTGTCAACAACATGTCTTCATAGATGACAACTGCATCAGTTTATACTTCAGGTCCTTCTCCTCCAGGAACCAACTACAAAAAGAGTAACACATTCTTGCATTAGTACCATAAAGCTGAGTTTTACAAACCCATACATGACAGCTCTTGCTTTAGAATAAACATCTTAGTAGATAGAGATTTTATAGTAGACTACAAAAGTGGTTTTTAGGCTCAGTATTACCTTCATTTCCCAACAGAGGAAGTCAGTTACTGACAGAGGGGCAGCAGGGAGTAAGTCAGCATAGCATTTCCTTCTGAAGGAAGTAAAGAAGTGAACAATGCAGAAAGAAATACAAAAGGAAAAATATGGTGGCCAGGATGGTGCTTGACAAAAGAATCACCATTTCTTTCACTGATACAACTTCTTCATAATCAGCTCAGCATCTCTAAAGAGGAAAGAGCTTCACTGCTCTGGGGTTCAAAATAAGAAAAAAGTCTAAATACCCTGATAGGGGAAGATGCGTCCCCAAGAGAGACATGAGATCTAATGCAGAAACATATCTATGTCTTGCTGAAAATTTGCACTCTAAGAATCACCAGCTTCTGCTTCAAGGGCAGCACACCACCGACTTAAGTGGATGGTAGGAATTTTATCCCATACAAGAAGACAGAACATGTGCTGTCCTTCAAGGATGCAGAGTAATAACCAAAGCAGAAAAAGGCTTAGAAATTCGATGGCACTTGCTCAGAAACACAGGGTAGAGGTGCAAGGTAGGTAAAACAACAAAATACAGATTATTCTTCATTCATACAGAATCAAGTTCAC